CCCCCCCCCCCCCCCCCCTTAGTTGGAGACAATGATAGATTTCTTCTAAGAAATAGATCACGGAAAAGGTTCAAATAGCAGGAATGTAGGATACATTTGCAGAATTTATCGAGTCAGTGCTATCTAAAACCGTTGTTCTAACCCAATTAATTCAGCGAAACGGTCCGGGTAAGAACATCGTGTTTACATAGCGGTGACGTCGACTCGATGGATCTTGCAAAGATATCTAAGAAATAAAGAAAACCATATAATTCCAAACTTCAGAATTTCTCTGAAAACTCATCCTTCTTGCCTTCTTCTATGAAAACTTTGGATACTTTAGACGATTCTGTCAAATCATTGCCACTCTCTTCTATACTTACAGAATACTAAATAGTTTACATACAAGAATAAGACATCAATGCAGTTCTCTCAAATATGATCTATTCCGTGCAAACTTAGTTCAAGATTCAAACTGTTCGAATTGTGGTCACCGTTGTGAAAATGCCTATCATTTCTTCTTTGAGTGCCAATCTTATAGTAATGCTCGTACAGTACTGTTCCAATAGATTTACAATATAAATATGCATTTTTTTTTGAGTTTTCTACTATTTAGTGACGAAAACCTAGCTTTGGATGGTAATTGTAATTTATTTAGACATGTGCAAACTTTTGATAGGTCCAGCGAAACATTTTGAATATAAAATGTATGTACATATGTATTTTTTTTTTACTTCCTACCATTACTTGTATTATTTGTAATTGTGTGTTTATGTGATCACTTGTTATTGTAATTGTGTGTCTATGTGATCACTTGTTATTGTTATTGTGTGTCTATGTAATTACCTGTAATTGTAATTGTGTGTCTATGTGATCACTTGTTATTGTAATTGTGTGTCTATGCGATCACTTGTTATTGTAATTGGGTGTCTATGTGATCACTTGTGATTGTAATTGTGTGTCTATGTGATCTCTTGTTATTGTAATTGTGTGTTTATGTGATCACTTGTTATTGTAATTGTGTGTCTATGTAATTACCTGTAATTGTAATGGTGTGTCTATGTGATTACTTGTTATTGTAATTGTGTGTCTATGTGATCACTTGTTATTGTAATTGTGTGTTTATGTGATCACTTGTTATTGTAATTGTGTGTCTATGTGATCACCTGTTATTGTAATTGTGTGTCTATGTGATCACTTGTTATTGTAATTGTGTGTCTATGTAATCACCTGTTATTGTAATTGTGTGTCTATGTGATCACTTGTTATTGTAATTGTGTGTTTATGTAATTACCTGTTATGGTAATTGTGTGAGTCTATGTGATCACTTGTTATTGTAATTGTGTGTCTTTGTGATCACCTGTTATTGTAATTGTGTGTCTATATAATTACCTGTTATTTCAATTGTGTGTCTGTGTGATCACTTGTTATTGTAATTGTGTGTCTATGTGATCACCTGTTATTGTAATTGTGTGTCTATGTAACCAATTGTTATTGTAATTGTGTGTCTATGTAATTACCTGTTATTGTAATTGTGTGTCTATGTAATCACTTGTTATTGTAATTGTGTGTCTATGTGATCACCTGTTGTTGTAATTGTGTGTCTATGTGATCAATTGTTATTGTAATTGTGTGTCTATGTAATTACCTGTTATTGTAATTGTTTGTCTATGTGATCACCTGTTATTGTAATTGTGTATCTATGTAACCAATTGTTATTGTAATTGTGTGTCTATGTAATTACCTGGTATTGTAATTGTGTGTCTGTGTAATTACCTGTAATTGTAATTGTGTGTCTATGTGATCACTTGTTATTGTTATTGTGTGTCTATGTAATTACCTGTTATTGTAATTGTTTGTCTATGTGATCACTTGTTATTGTAATTGTGTGTCTATGTAATCACTTGTTATTGTAATTGTGTGTCTATGTGATCACTTGTTATTGTAATTGTGTGTCTATGTGATCACTTGTTATTGTAATTGTGTGTCTATGTGATCACTTGTTATTGTAATTGTGTGTCTATGTGATCACTTGTTATTGTAATTGTGTGTCTATGTGATCACCTGTTATTGTAATTGTGTGTTTATGTGATCACTTGTTATTGTAATTGTGTGTCTATGTGATCACTTGTTATTGTAATTGTGTTTCTATGTATTTACCTGTTATTGTAATTGTGTTTGTCTATGTGATCACTTGTTATTGTAATTGTGTGTCTATGTAATTACCTGTTATTGTAATTGTGTGTCTATGTGATCACTTGTTATTGTAATTGTGTGTCTATGTAATTACCTGGTATTGTAATTGTGTGTCTGTGTAATTACCTGTAATTGTAATTGTGTGTCTATGTGATCACTTGTTATTGTAATTGTGTGTCTATGTAATTACCTGTTATTGTAATTGTGTGTCTATGTGATCACTTGTTATTGTAATCGTGTGTCTATGTGATCACTTGTTATTGTAGCTGTGTGTCTATGTGATCACTTGTTATTGTAATTGTGTGTCTATGTAATCACTTGTTACTGTAATTGTGTGTCTATGTAATTACCTGTTATTGTAATTGTGTGTCTGTGTAATTACTTGTTATTGAAATTGTGTGTCTATGTGATCACTTGTTATTGTAATTGTGTGTCTATGTAATTATCTGTTATTGTAATTGTGTGTCTATGTAATTACCTGTTATTGTAATTGTGTGTCTATGTCATCACTTGTTATTGTAATTGTGTGTCTATGTAATTATCTGTTATTGTAATTGTGTGTCTATGTAATTACCTGTTATTGTAATTGTGTGTCTATGTGATCACCTGTTATTGTAATTGTGTGTGTATGTAATTACCTGATACGTGAAACACAATAATACTATTTTATTTTTTACATATTTGTTATATTGTAGCCTTCGTCCATTATTATTTAATTAAACTCATTTAAATTCCATTTAAAGAACACGACATAAAAGAACAAAAATAAACAGAAAACCTGAAATCATAAAAACCACTGTTATAATAAAACAGGCGACACTAAATAATAATCATTGCAAGAAGACACTCATATGCACACTACTTAGTATGTATTAGCACTACGAAACTGAAGCTATAATCATGCAAGCACTTAAAACAGTAAAAGTAGCATGCAGACATGTTGAAAATTACCACTAACAGCTATATAGCAGCTTTAAAACATTGACATACCTGTACATAAGCGTTTTTTCACCCTTCAGACCTCAACTGTGTCCTCTTGTCTAAACTTATATAAAGAACTCTTCTTAATCATAAGTTCCTGTATGTATTCAGCAGACATGTTTTGACAATCCTAAAAACCTGACATGCTTCATTTGCTAAAGTTTCTTCCGTTCAGAATGTTAGAAAAGAAGAGTTTATAGATAAAATAAATGCTTTGATATCGGTTGTATAACCATCTAAAACCAATCGCAAGACTTTTTTTTTCTTCTTTTTTAGTTGCAATCTGGCTACAGATATGCCAAATAACAGGAAAGTAGTCAAAATTGTGTTTATCTAATTTCAAAAAATTGTCAATTTTAACTCCAAGTAATTTTACTGACTCGGCACAAGTAATGTCAGTGCTAGTAACATTAAACTCATCAAATCTTAAAATAAAAATGTTTCCAAAAGCAAACAGATTGAATTGTTAAAGGGTTAGCCTTCATACCATTTCACATATTGGAAGATATATAATATAATGCCTTTTATTTAATTTGCAATAGGCAACAATGCCTTTGTGCTTTACACACATTTAAACATGACAGTGACATAATGGCAATACTAAATACATATTTACATGAATTTTATAGCGGCAAAATTTACACATTTACAAGGAACATATTCATTCACAATTAATTTAGGAATTAATTTGATTTACATATTTAACAAAATTCCATGTCTAATTTCATTTGCTTTGTAAATAAACATAGCTAAATTTCTAATAATAAAATTGTTATATTTCTTTTACAACAATTATGAAGCAAGTTATTTCAACTTATATTAATTATTTTTGTTGGCCCGGA